GCCGCGCGCCGATGAGGAGCCCGCGGTGAGGGTGAACCAGACGAGGCCGGCGAAGCCCTTGGCGAGCTTTGCGGAGAGCGGCAGCAGGCCGACGAGCGCCAGTCCGTGGAAAATGATCATCACGGCGGAGGCAACTTCGGCGATGATGGCGAGGGACATGGCCGAGAGGCCCGCCTTCTTGAGCTCGGTGCACTCGAGGAAGTGCGCCGGGTGCTTGAGGCCTGGTGCGGGGGACAGCGGACAATAGAGGGGTTGTTGGTCGCGCGCGCGCGGCCTGGCCGGCAAAATCGGCGCACCGTCGGTCGCAATGACGCTCGGCACGGCGGCAATGACCTGGAGGAGGCCGAGCTCGTCGATGTACTCCTGCAGGGTCTCGCGGGCGCCCGCCTTGCCCCAGCCGTAGCCCGACGAGTCGTGGTGCAGGCCGACGCCGTACTGCGGGCCGAGAAGCTCGTCAGCGCGGTAGTCGAGGCCGTGATCCTTGAGGTTGATCGTCTTGCCGTCCAGGGTCGCCGTGAGTGCGGTGAGGCGGGGCAGGTTGGAGGTGTCCTTGAGCTTGATGACCGACCGGCCTGCGGGCGAGGGCACACAGCGGTGTGGTGAGAGAGAGGCGGGGCGGCGGGACAACGTGGCGGCGGCACACCGTCGGCAAGAGCGGCGGAGGCGAGCAGGGCGATCACGCCGGCCACGACGAGGGCGAGCAGGTGCGAGAGCTTGTACGCGATATCGGACCCCGTGGCTTTCGCGGCACCGATGGTCACCGCCTTTGCGTTGGGCTGACCCTCGAGCGCCTCCGCCGTTGTGGGCGTCTCCGTCAGGTCGTCCTTCGAGATGCGTTCCACGTTCTGCTCCAGCCAATCCGCCTGCGCGCGTGCGTGCAGTGGTGCGTGCGCGGAATCGCGAGACGGGGGACGGGAGAGGCGGGAGAGATGCGTGCCTGCGACATGAGAATAAATCGAAGCTCAAAGCAGGTCGATCGACTTTTTGCGAATTCTCACCACAATTATCGCGGAAATTAGCCGAGATTAAACGCTGTTCACAACAAAGAGAAAGGACACAGTGAAACATACGGCTTCTCCGCCAGGCCCGCGCTCACCGCCTCCATGAGATCTGAGAGGCTAGTTCCATTTCACTCTGACACGCTAATCTTGAAAACGTCCAACGGAGCTCCGTGTTGCTCCCAGCGCCCTCCCCCGCGCTTCCTGCGGCCCTAGCCGATGATACTAGCATGGGAGGTCATCTGGCTACCGCGAGAGCGACCCGACTCGTCGACATCGTCCGATGATGGTGCCTCAAAGTCAGCCTTCGGAGGCTATCGTGGGGTCGAGCCGGCAGTAGCCGCGACATTTGGTTCCACCACCCCTCGTAGGCTTTGTGCTGAGACGGACAGAGCCGCCCCACGAGCGAAAGCCGCCTTGCGCGCCTCAGCCCGCCGGGCCCCTCGGCGGCAAGTGTGGGGTTGATACGGCGGTGATACACCCCCCTGACCGCAGCGCCTCACGGTGTGGGCTGGAGGTGCCTCTGAGCTGGCCATTTTGGGTCACACCGCGAGAGAACGCGCGTTCGAGTTTTCACTCGGGAACTTCAAGAGTTCAACTCGCAGCTCGCGCACCGGCCAGGCGCAGGCCCAAGGAGGCCCTACGGTGCTAGCGTGCAAGTGAGGCGGAGGCGCGAGTCGGAAGGCCGCGACCGTCAAGTGTTCCGCCAAGCAGCAGCTGGACGCGCTCCGCGCCGCGCAGCGTCCGGCGCCGAGGAGAGACCCTCCGGTCGTGGACGTGCCCGCGGCATCAACCCCGCCGCCGCGCGCCAAGCGGACGGAGCTCGAGGTGACGGCCGAGACGCCGCTCTCCGAGCTGAAGGCCTTCATCGACGAGCACGGACTCGATGTGAAGAAGAACGTCGGCGGAACGGCAGGGCGCACGAAGAAGGACATCTACAACGACATCGTGTCCGAAATGACACCACGCACCGTACAGAAGCCACGCCGGGTTAGTGTGCGAGTCCACAGGAAATTGGACGAGTCCACTGGGCCCACCGTGACCGTTACCGCCGACTCGTCCGTGGAAGA